ATGAGAGAGCTAGAGAGCAGGGGTTACCTCCATTTTTCCTCTCCTTTTTCTTCCTTTTCTCTCTTTTTTTTCTTCCTTTTTTCTTCTCCTTTTTCTTCTATCCCCTCCCCTTTCCCTCTGGGGGGTCAGAGCTCTTATATAGTGGTGTTCTAACAAATCTGGCATAACCGTCTCTGATTCTCTTCCGCAGCCGTTACTTGCCAGGGCTGAGCTGGTGGGTGCAGGTAACCGTTGTAGAGTACGGCCCTACCAGACAAGGGACACCTCTCAGGGTTGGCAGACATGATGAGAGACATGGCCGCAAGTCTCCAGATTTGGCAAGTATGGTTGTCAGGTAGGAAATCTTCCTACGATACACCGAGCTGCTCTGCAACGAGCTACCTTGCACCGAGCTACTTTTCACCGAGCTGCCGGTAATGTGCTGAGGTATTTCTTCCCGAGGTAGGTCTTCGTGGCCTAATAGGAGGCGAGCTGCCTGTAAGTGGCGAGCTGCCTATAAGTGTCGAGCTGCCTATAAGTGTCGAGCTGCCTGTAAGTGGCGAGTTACCTGTGGTGAGCTGCCTGTAGCTAGCTCGAGTTGTCTAGTTGTCAAAGGCTGCACTTACTTGGCATGAGGTGCCATGTGTCATAATTTCACTGGAGGGCCAAATCCGCCCTCATCAATAGGTATAAATGTTCAATGAACATTTGAGAATGTTTTTGGCATCTGTCCCTTAAAATACCCTCACCTCACTCTTGAAAAACATAAAAACCCACTTTTGACAGTTATCAAAATAGTTATCAAGTGCCCGTTTAACATATTTATTTATGTTGTGCTTACTAGATCCGGTCCCCAAACACAGACATATCCTGTCGTGATTGGAAGTTTATCCAGGTTGGCACACTTGAATTCGCACCAAATGCAGACACCAAAAAACGAGGATAAGCAATCCACTCATTATTACATGGCTTATGTCACCTCAAGGTATTTTGTGAGAGCATGTAATTCACCCAAGAATGACGGTTCAGGTCAGGGTCAGAATTTGTAGGTTCAAAGTACTGTTAGGGTAGGTGCCAGCTCGGAATTGATACCAATTCACGGGCGGGCGTTGGTGTATAGAGTGTGGGTTGTTGACCTTTTCATTTTCAATGCTTATAGCTCTGCAGTGGAAATCAGAAATCTGCATTGGGCAAATCCGTACTTCTCTGAATTTTTAATTAGATTAGGGTTCTGGATTTCTGTAGTCGAGTGACAGCTTTAACCCCGCCACCGTATTTTACAAAATAGACAAAATTGCCCTTCATTTAGTCCTTTATTTCCTTTTTTCCCTCTTCAATTCTGCCATTGGTTTCTATAACAAACAATGTCATCGTAGCCATAATTATGGTTTTGAAAATCAAACCAGACCGGATGGACAGACCAGTTAACCGAGGAATTGGTCAAGTAGCTTATTCCATTTTACCCTAAAATCACTCATGAGCCAAAGACCGTTGATTTGGTCAAATTATTGACTGAGACCCTAAAATCACTCATGAGCCAAAAACCACTTATCTTTTTCTAAATCAGAAGGGGCCGTCCATTTAAATCGGACGGATGGGGACGAACTAGGTGCAAAATTTGTATCCAGATTAGATTGTGCACTGCAAACTAAAAGAGGCTTTGGATTGGGGAATTGCTTATGGACAAGATAAAAGCAGATACATGAGTAGCACAAGGAATCAATTCTCAATAAGCTGAGGAAATGAAGGAAGCCAATCTGGAGCTACTGCTCCAACAACTGCACTGCTGGTCTATAAAAGAAGCAAATTAAATGCTTTGGACCATCTCTATTCTCGATTCCAGCCCAGTCAAAAGGGTCAAAAGGAAGAAAATTCTTGTTATTTCTTTTATCTTGTTAAAGGAAAGGAGCAGTCCTTTACTTTGTTAATGTGCAAGGCACAAGAGATGCCTTTAGCCTTATTGCAGAGAAGATGGAATGTAACCTAGATCTCCCAAATTAATGACGAAGAAAAGAATTGTTCATAAATCGTAACTTCTTTTTATTTCCGCCTTTGCTTTGCTTTTCTGATAATGAATTACCCATTCAATATACGTTATTGTCTATGTATTTCAGTTCCAAATCTAGTCTCTGCTTCTTGAATAAGTATATGTTTGGTTCCGTTCAAATTTATTGAGTAATATTTTTTGACGGTGCCACATAGATGCCCCGTCAACAAATGCCTCATTAATTGTATTTGTATGTATCAAAATTTGCAAACAGTTTCTGTGCGCCTCTCTCGTTCAGGAACTCTCATTTTGGAGCTTCCAGAAATGGGTAGGCATTTTGTTACAGGAAAACCCAATAAAAGATATTCGAAAATGGCACTCCAATGAAAATAAAACAGAGATAAAGAGAAAGCAAGCACAGAGAATACACAAATTTACATGGTTCACCTTATAAACTACGTCCATAGGCGAAGGAGGAACAAAAAATTACTATTGATGTAACCGTTTCTGGTCACATACCAATTTTTTGTGAAGTATAAATTTTTTTGGCTAAGTACCTCGTTATTTGACCCGGTGGTGACGTGCCTTGGTGATGAGCTACTTGGTGGCGAACTCCCTGGTGGAGAACTGCTTGGTGGCGAGCTTCCTGGTTGAGAGCTACTTGGTGGCAAACTGCTTGGTGGAAAACTCCCTGGTGGAGAACTGTCTAGTGGTGAGCTCCCTGGTGGAGAGCTACTTGGTGGCGAACTGCTTGGTGGCGAATTCCCTGGTGGAGAACTGCCTGGTGGCGAACTCCCTGGTGGCGAACTCCCTAGTGGCGAACTACCTGGTGGCGAGCTCCCTGGTGGAGAGCTACTTGGTGGCGAACTCCCTGGGGGAGAACTACCTGGTAGATTCGTCATTTGACCTGCTCCTAGGCGGCCTGCAACTCAGATGATGGTGGAGCTCCCTGGTGCAGCGCAACCCGACTGCCCTCTGCATGAGGTGATTTCCTCTCCTTTGTAGGTGGCGGGAGATGAGGGACCTACGAGAACTGAATCAGAGGACCCGGGGGTATTTTCCCGGCAAGGACTCTCCGATGCCTAAGTTAGCATTCTGATTACAGAGAGCTTGGAGAGAAATGAGAGAGCTAGAGAGCAGGGGTTACCATCCTTTTTCCCCTCCCCTTTGGCTTTGGGGGTCGGAGTCCTTATATAGTAGTGTCCTCGCGGGTTAGGTGGGTGAAAAGCCTTCAAACGGTAAGACTCGTCACATCCCGTCAGAACCGGGGTACGGTGGTGAACTCCTCGAGGTTGTTAAGCTGACGCTTGTGTCAGGCGGCCAGTTCGGCGCTTGGGCCAGGTTGTCAGGTCGGCGCCTATGTCAGTCGGCGGATCGGTGTCTGGGCCAGGTTGTCAGGCAGGAGATCTTCCTGCGATACGCCAAATTACTCTTCTGTACCGAGCTACCCTACAAGTGGCGAGCTGCCCGAGGGAGCTATGCCGAGCTCCTTGGGCTATGCCGAGCTGCTTGTGGCGAGCTTTGCCGAGCTGCCTGGCTCCTTGGAGAGCTGCCTAGCTCCTTGGCGAGCTCTTTGGTGAGCTGCCTAGCTCCTTGGCGAGCTCTTTGGTGAGCT